GAGAAACACACAATGCATCCATTACACACACACACACACACACACAATGCAACCCTTACACACAAAGACAATGCATCCTTTGCACACATACACAGAAATAGACAATGCAAACCCATACACACGCATGCAAACACACACACTTCTTTTCTTACATACACACAGAAACACAATGCATCTCATGCACACACATACAGACACACATCTTGCATCCCTTATGCATACAAACACAGAGTCACACAATGCATCCCTTACACACAACCAGAAACACATAATACATCCCTTATACACAAATACACACTGCTTCCACTACACACAAACACACTGCATCACCTGCACAAACTGGTAACCCTAAACACTACATACCATAAGCACACATATTAGATCCTCTACAATAACACATAACACATTCCCTACACACTCCACTCCCTGTGAGCAAACTCATGGGTGGGTGGAACTTATGAGTGGGCCTTATGGGCATACTCACCGTCAGGCCCTGGGGCCCAGACCTTGAGCTGTGTAAGGGGCCCCCAAAAAATTGAGCTGCTTCCAATTCTCCCAGAACATTGAATTTTGTGACCACAGTTGCAAACAGCTCCAGAGATCCTGTTCTACACCAGACCAGTGGAGCCAAACTGCAGCCCATCATCATCCTCATCTGCTTGTAAGTAGGCAATCTAGTATATTATTAGTGACACTAATCTATAATTTACCTCACATTAAAGGGACACTATAGCTTAATGAAGTGGTTCTGGTGTCTATAGCTGGTCCCTGCAGGCTTTTTAATGCAAACACACACTGTGTGCAGCACTGGCATTAGTTCATATGGCAGATCATATGGGTGGGGCATTGTGATGTGACATGTGGGGGCAGCAAATTTTTATTTTGTCTAGGGCGGCAAAAATCCTTGCACCGCTCTGATCTGGGCAGGTGCACCAGTCTACGGTGACTGGTTTTGACTTGCGGCCTGTTAAGGCTGCCAGCCTCCCGGGTCAGCTGGGGAGTAATGCTGGCGGGGCCGCTGCTGGCGATTCTGTTCTGGCTGCCGCTGGAGGGGAAAGCGCGCGAAGGCGCTGGTTTCTGTTTCAAGACGATAATGAGACCGGCGACGAAATATGACGTCATATTCCGGCGCCAGTCTCATTCAGCAGCGTGCGAGGGCACTAACACAGGAAGCACCTCTAGTGACCGTCTGAGTGACTGTCACTAGCAATGTCACTTTGAAGCAATGTAAACACTGCCTTTTCTCTGAAAAGTCAGTGTTTACGTTGAAAAGCCTGTAGCGACATGCTATAGACACCAGTAACACCACATTAAGCTGTGTGTCCGTCTGCTAGTGAGTGAGCATGCTTGCATGTGTGTGCCTGCTAGTGAGTGAGCTTGTGTTTTTATGTCAATGAGCTGATGTATATCAGTAAGATTGTTTGTCTATGAGGCTGTGTATCAATGAGCTTGTGTGTCACTGAAATGTCAGTGAAATTGCCTGTGTCTGCATGTGCATATGCTTACTGTATAATTAAACGTTTTACCCTGAAAGGACCAATATTTTATATTAGAAAAGCAATATATATATATATATACTTGGCTCACTATTCGTTCCTGGCAAGACATAGCCTACATATTACACGACAATATGCTATGAAAGTGACTTATGGGTTGGTAATAATTTTTTTTTTCCAGGCTGCTTTGTATCTCAGTCTCGCCCTGGACTACAGTTACAAAATCGGCCCAGAGAGCCTGTGCCTGTACCAGACCAGTGGAGCCAGACTGCAGCTAGAGCCCATCATCATCTCATCTGTTGTGGGGTAGGCAATTCAGCTTAATGTAGTGGTTCTGGTGTCTATAGCCTGTCCCAGCAGGCCTTTTAATGTAAACATGGCGGCACTGCAGCACTGGCATTAGTTAACATGGCAAATCATATGGGTGGGGCATTGTGATGTCACATGGGGGCGGCAAACTTTACTTTTGCCTAGGGCGGCAAAAATCCTTGCACCGGCCCTGGCTGGAGGGGGCTGTGTGAGCTGTGGCCGCACAGTGTCTCATGGTAGTTAGGGTGCCGTGCGGCCAGTACAGCTCACACAAGCAAACAGCTGATAAACTGGCCGCACGGAGGAAATGTGTATGTGTGACTGTCTGCCTGTAACTGAGTGTGTGACTGTCTGCCTGCAAATGTGTGTGTGGGGCTGCAGGGATTTTGTAGAAGGGGGCGGGGGTTTTGTATTGGGACAGGAGTCTTTATGAGGGGGGATAAGCAGGGGATTTGTGGAAGGGGGTTGCGGGGGTTTTGTAGACGAGGCAGTACAGGATTTGAGAAGGGACAGGACAGAGGTTTTGTAGGAGGGGCTGACAGCGGTTTTGCAAAGTTTACAAATTGTAAATTATTAAAAGCAAACAAATCTTAATTTTTTTTTATTTATTTGTCCTCCTGAATACCTGTCACACCGCCCCTGCTCCTGTCAGAGGGCAGTATCGCTACGGCGGTATTCCAACATTCTAAGGGGAACACTGCCAATCACTCACCAGAGGTGACCTCTCCTCTTTCAGCAGCCGGGTCTGTATCATTAAGGACGACGCCCGCTGCAGCTGTGAATAATAAAGGGTTTCCTGTTTAACCTTTAACAGGCCAGAGCAATTAATTTAATATAGGTGTGTTACACACATAAGCTTGATCACATGTTTCCCTACAGCCTATCAGGAAACACCTTTAGCTATTTGAACCTATTTTGTCCATTTCTCAGTGCCCTGTCGTGGTTTCCAGTTGGTTATCCGAGAGCGCGTTCCTTGTATTGATTTCTTGTGTATCTGACCTTGGCTTCCCTTATTGACTATCCGACCTCTGTATTCCTTGACTTTTGGCTTGGCTCCTGACTATTCTGATATCTCTATTCCTTGACCTTTGGCTTGTTTATCGTTTGCGTTATAGCTTTGTCTTTGCTTTTCCCTATCTTGTGTCTTTTGCCTTCATACATTAAATCCAGCCATTCTAAGGTCCAGTAATACGTCTTAAGTATTTACTTTATATTCTACTTAAGTTCTGCGTGTTGGGCATCTATAGTAATCCCGACAATACCTCAGATTACCTCCAGTTTGTCTCCAGAATATCTCCAATCACACACTTAGAAGCAGCACTATCCAGAATATCTCCAATCACACACTTTGAAGCAGCACCAATCAAGCTATATTAGCTAAGCTAATGACCACAACCCTCATATAACTCCTAAAATCACCACCCACTAGGAATGTTTAACACCTGGGTAGGCCTCTGCTTATTTGCAAACAATAGCTAATTAACCAGCAATCCATAGCAAACACCTAGCTAATCAAATACCTTACCAATTGCTAGATATCTGAGTAACAGCATCCAGAATGATTTCATTATGGCCTTACATAATACTGTGCAACAAAAAATTCTGTCAGCAATAAATGGAATATATATGTGTGTCCAGTGCAACATTGATCATGATATGAAGTAAGACTGTTGTTAGCAAACCTGTGATAGGAAAAAGTCAGTTGAGGTGTGCCGAAACCAACGTATGCTGTAGGCCAGTAAATAAAGTGGGCCTACACTAAAAGAGTATAGTGAATAAAGTGAGTGGAGGGTGGAGCAGCAGCTGGTCAGACCAATCACGGTAGGGTAGGTCTGACCAGCTTTTAAAGGTCTATAAGCCCCTCCCACAACTTCAGACCAAGTCTTCCAATTTGTGTTCAGGGCAACATTGATTATGATATGAGGTAAGATTGTTGTTAGCAAACCTGTGATAGGAAAAAGGTCAGTGGAGGTGTGCCGAAACCGACGTATGCTGTAGGCCAGTAAATAAAGTGGGCAAAGAGGAATACATATCATGCTCAAAATAGTAAGTAAAGAACATAATACAACGTAAGTGCATTAAGATTACATTTTAACAAATGCCCTTCATATTTCCTGTACCAGTTGGGGTATGTATATTGTATATGCTGATAGCTTTCACCGACCTAGAGTTTTAATGACATGGACTGGAACATCCTGGCTGGCTCGATTCCATAGATGCAGCCCCTATTCTAAATGAGTGTCCTGAATACAGGCTAGGGTTCATACCAAGCCTTGTGAACAATAACCGTACGTATAACATGAACTTAAAGGTAGTGAAGATAGCCCCGTGAAGTGACCGTAGCGGAAGAGATGTGATGTTCGGTACGGTGAGGAGGTAGGAATCGAAAACCTTCACCGGGCACCATATATTATTCGTGGGATAGTATGGAATGTGGACGGGTTGACCCAGTTGACTTGTTTTGGTCACGGGTAGAGTCAGTAAGTAATGATCTTAATGTTTAATTAGATATGAGCTTCAAAGGCAACCTTGTGCATTGTGTTGGCCACCGATGGTGAATTCTCGTGGCCTCAGGAATCCGTAAAATGCCAGGTAAATAGAGGTTTTAACAACAGAGTTAGTGATGGGTTTGAAAGGGACTGAATATAGCAAATAAGACATATTTTGGATACCCTTAAGTATAGTCTGATTGGAAAGGATGAAATGAAACTGGTGTTGTTGGAAAGTAGAGAAACATGTGATGTTTGATGTCAGTCAGGCGCAACTTGATGGTGGCAAAGAAAAGTCGCGAACACAACCAGAGACATAATAAACAACATTATGTAATGAAGGACCACTTACCTGTGATGTGAATAGTAATGGAGAGACTAGGTGACAGCAATTGCTTGGAGATCACTAAGGGCACAACTTGAAATACCTTAGAACCTGAAGGAGTAATACCGTGTATATTGAAATAGCAGAATCTGCCAGACACGTGAGCCCTATGAGGGCTAAGGAAATTGTTGTAAACATGTAAGTGACAACAAATATATACCTTGCAAACAATTGAGGGGTAACACGAGCGACTTAGACTAAACCAGGTGGCATGAATATGAAAATACCAGCATATGATTATATCATTAACCATAAATTAATAGCATTGAGTCATATAGCAAAAAAGTCATAATGCAGAAACTCTGAAAAATAAGTGAATTGCGTACCTATCACATGTATAAGCCCCTGTTGCCTGAAAATAATAGGATAGCCGGAGAGACATAAGTGATTAATATAGTGAGGGCTAAGTTGAACCAACTTATATAGGGGAAATAATGTTGTAGAAAGGGTTGAGAACCGGAAAAAGCATCGATACTGAAGAAAACAAAAACAGTATCAGTATCAACAAGAAAATAACAAACAAAGAATGTGTACCGGTAGGGACTGGGATAGATAGAATGTGCTCTAATGCAAGTACCAAATAGCTACAGAATATCTACCAGACTAGGAACTAGGATACTAGGATATAGATGATAAAGAAAAAAAAAACATTTTATGAAATATAGTAAAAATAAGAGAATATATATACGGTAAGTGCTCGTGTACAAAAGGTGAACAAAATAATCAGTATTAAGAAATTAAACTAATTACATTAACATAAATGTCACGGTAGCTACTAAAACTGGATTTTCATGTTGCTAATAAATCACATATCGTCCAGATTGATAATTTAAGCTACTATAAAAATATACAGTAACAACTCTATGTATCTTCAATATTTCAATCTTATTTTATCATCATTATGAATATTACCCTCCTTAGAGAAATCTTAATCTTATCTCTTACTTGCAACAGCAACAAGGAATAAAAACACAATGATTCTCCAATACAAACAATTTTAGGTTTCTGTCGACCATAAATTCATTAAAGTAATTTCACAAATGTAATTATCACTATATAAGCGTTAAAGCTTTACCTATATAAGTTCCAAATTTACTCCAAGTAAACATAAAAGTTTACATATGTTTGCAACATACTGGAAGGGGTTAATCTGACTCAATTAAGGGATTCCCCTCCCGATAGAAGGAATTCTATTACGTCATCACATACGTATTTTAAACTTACCAATCAGAAATTTTCACACTGAACCAGTGAGAGGACATCTCCTCTTATTTCAATTCAGTGCTCTGTACCGGCCGGTTCCCTTCAGATGAGCCAGCTCTGGCGAAACGCGTGCATCAAGGGGTCCATGTAGTGCTACTCTCAATGACTGTAAACTAGCACACGAACTTGCTAGCGCGCATATGTTATCATTTGTTCACTTATTTACTTTGTGATCGTACTATATCCTCGTAGGGATCAGGTCTTAATAACCTAGCAGGACTAGCAGTAGGTGCCCTCGAAGGCACGGGAGAGAAGTTATTTAGCACAGGGAAGCTATTGGTGGGAGATTTTCTTTAGTACCGATCTTATTAGGAGAGCAGTGTTCTATTTACTCATCATCCACTGACCTTAGTTCAATCAGTTATCACAGCAGACTAGGATTTCATATCGATAGCCACAAAGCTACCAAGCTCGTTCACTACTTATTTAATACAGGTATACCACTCCCTTACACTAGACTTCAGGAGTATCAACAGGGACCAATACATGATTAGCCATGGCAAATTCTTTCCTTTTCTACGATCATGGAAACCAACATGATTTGAGCATCTAGCATTCTGCTCTAACAGCTTTACTCCCACCTTTATTTATTTATTGACATTAAAAGTCTGCAGGGTCAGATTGAGAGACAATATATCTAGTCCCATTGGGGATTGGCCCACTATTATTATTTTGCCTTTTATTTTCATTTATTTATTTTCCTTTCTCTTTTATCTCCCCTTCCAATTATTTTTACTGTTAAACCACCTTCCCGCTCTAATTGAACAGTTTTTTTTATCAAGGCACCGACGTGTGCATGATAATACCTATATTGGATTTACTCCACAGCTGACCATGACCCCGTAACAGGGTATGCTGTTATTAAACCTTTACTAGTCCACCACAAAACCATGTGAGGCAGCCTTATTCTTAGGCTAGTTACATTTTGAGATCCATTTTTAGTAGCTATAGTGACATTTATGTTAATGTAACTAGTTTAATGTCATAATACTGATTACTTTGTTGACCTTTTGTACATGAGCACTTACATATACTATACTTATATATATATATTCTCTTATTTTTACTATATTTAATTTAAAAAAAAAATCTTCTTTAATTATGATCTATACCCTAGTTCCTAATCTGGTATATATTCTGTAGCTATTTAGTACTTGAATTAGAGTACATTCTATCTATCCCAGTCCCTACCGTACACCCAGTACACATTCTTTGTTTGTTAGTTCCTATTTGGGGTTACCCCCTATCCCTCAGTGTACCAGGTATTCCAGTTCCTCTTCTTTCAGTCAACAAGAATATATGATGAAAAGTATCTACAAGGACCATACGGGGGAAAATTCAAACTAACAAGTGTATGAGAAGCAAACCAACAACCCCTAATTAGTATAACTAAACCAAAGTAAACCTTTGTTAGCCGATGAGTCCCATGAGGGTAGTAGTAATGTAAGTACCGTGAATGTATATACAAGTTTATATTTGTGAACCATATGTGTTGGCCCAAGTTGGGCTTGACATGATTAATCCAGTCAATAGCGACACTTAGCCATGTAGGGGGCCAAGACATAAACTAGAAGTCGATATGTTCCAGTAAGGGGCATAATACCGGAAGCTGAAGAAGGCATCGCTGTGAAGCTACGTATTAATGAAATGCTGAATATGATAGTAGTGAAATTTGCCCTGAAAGAACAAACATACAGTTCGTAGAAACCAATTAAATTAGCTGTGGGAAGCGCGACATGGCGATTTCTAGGCGTACGAGGTAGGGCTGGCTCAACTTAAAGATAACATGTTTTAGTATAATAATGATGTCGTCACAATTTGTCTGATAGGTGTGACATCGCAACATATCTATATCCTAATTCACCTATTAGTGTAAAAACTTTCAGACAAAGTCAGACAGCATGACAGAAAGTCAATATCCCATTGGATATCTGAACGTACAGGCGCATCTGCATAGCTCAGCCATAATACGAGGAATGGTTCATGACCTGATAGGTGTCACTTTTTCGTGTAGGTGTAGTGGACCAGACTGGAATACTGGGGATTGACATGTCATCACCTTCTTACAGGGATCTGAGACATACTGCAATATATTAATAATTAGCTTGCATCAGGATGGTTTTATTGGCTGGCTAGCTAGTGCCAAGTGGCGAGCAATTCACTAGGTTGATGACAGTTTAGGCCCTGCTAGTTGCCAAGTGGATTGAGAGGCTCTATGCTTTGGAGAGAGGGGATTTGTGGCCATCAAACGTTGTGGAGGGGTATTAGCCTCTCGGTGACATTTAAATCATGAGATCGATTGGGTGTGACAAGTAAGGCCCTCTTCTCTATGCCACTGTGCAAGGCGGCTAACTATGTTTTAGCCTGAGGGGTGTAATACCTCATGCGTGGAGGATGGCTGTTGACTTTGTGGGACCACTAACTCCAAGGCAGATATGCGAGAAACATAACATCTATTGGTTACCTAGATCCCTAAAAGACAGTAAAACCTATTCATTAAAAAAGTCTACATTGTAGGGGAGCCATCATGGCTAAAAATGTACCTGAATTTGTATAAGAGTTTGTGTAGTTCTGTATGGTATGGTTGTGACCTGTAACTGAAATCTGCAGTATCCCCTAAAGGAGGCAGAGAGGGGAAGGAGAGATCTATAACCTACAGAAAGAACCGTAACGGACAAATGTGTGTGAGGTCTGAAGAGAAAATGATGCCCCGAATTGATAACCTGTAAAAGAATATGATTTGATAAGACATAAGGAAATGGATGTTAGCAAGACCTTGTGAGTACCACCGTACCCCCCATGTACAGGCCCCATGGCGTCCTGGAAAGCCACAGGACCAAATATCCACAGATGGGATCTGTAGTGTTAAACCATGCAATCATATTTAGGGAAATCTCAAAATATGATTAGACATGACACAAATATGCTTGTAAGCAAAACTGTAGACTGTGCAGAAATGCATATGTAAACATAGACAGTGATGACAAAAGTCGATATGGCCTAGTGTGGGCCAAATACAGTAAGCAGAATGAGGCATCGCTGCCAAATACAGTAAGCAGATTGAGGCATGCTATGTATGATTGAAATAGGCTGAATTTGCATTACTTGTAAAATTTGCCATACCCGAATGGCTGAACAAACAAACTTATGGTTTTGTTGAAAAAACAACAGTTATAGAAGCCGTGGGTGGGGTGGTCGGGGCAGTGCCCCATGAGCTTCTAATGAGGCCAGGGCCGGACTGGCCCACCGGGATACCGGAAAATTTCCCGGTGGGCCGTCGGCACCTGGGGCCGGCCCTTTAAATACTGCAGCCGCATGAGCGCTCTGTTAAGAGCCTCAGGCGGTGCAGCTTCTCCCCTGTAGCGTGGCCGAGCTGCACTCCGGTCCGCGGTGCCGGCCGGAGTGATAGGAAGGGGCACACTGAGTGTGCACTTCCTATCACTCCGGCAGCTTCCTTGAGCACCCGAACTTCAATACTACGAAAGTAGAAGGGAGGAGAATAAGAGGTAAGAAAGAGGAGGAGAATAAGATGAGAGAGAATAAAAAGAGGGAGAATAAGATAAGGGAGAGGAATAAAAGAAGGGAATAAGAAAAGAGAGCCAAAAAGAGAATAAGATGAGGGAGGAATAAAAAAGAGGGAATAAGAAAGAGAGCGAGGATAAGAAGAGGGAGGGAGGATAGAAGAGGGAGGGAGGATAAGAAAGAGGGGAGAATAAAAAGAGGAGAATAAGAAAAGAGGAGGAGGAGGTAGAAAGAGGGAGGGAGGGAATAAGAGAGGGAGAATAAGATGGGGAATAAAAAGAGGTAAGAAAGAAGAAGGGAGGGAGGAATAAGAAAGGGGGAATAATAAGAAGAAGAAAGAGGGGCAGCTCTATAGGACAGGGGCAAGACAGGGGAGCTCTTTTCTACACACTACATGGCAGCACACACACACACAATGCATCCCTATACATACACAGAAACACAACATACTTCCCTTACACACAGAGAAACACACAATGCATCCATTACACACACACACACAATGCAACCCTTACACACAAAGACAATGCATCCTTTGCACACATACACAGAAACAGACAATGCAAACCCGTACACACGCATGCAAACACATACACTTCTTTTCTTACATACACACAGAAACACAATGCATCTCATGCACACACATACCTTGCATCCCTTATGCATACAAACACAGATTCACACAATGCATCCCTTACACACAACCAGAAACACATAATACATCCCTTATACACAAATACACACTGCTTCCACTACACACAAACACACTGAATCACCTGCACAAACTGGTAACCCTAAACACTACATACCATAAGCACACATATTAGATCCTCTACAATAACACATAACACATCCCCTACACACTCCACTCCCTGTGAGCGAACTCATGGGTGGGTGGAATTTATGAGTGGGCCTTATGGGCATACTCACCATTAGGCCCTGGGGCCCAGACCTTGAGCTGTGTAAGGGGCCCCAAAAAATGGAGCTGCTTCCAATTCTCCCAGAACATTGAATTTTGTGACCACAGTTGCAAACAGCCTCAGAGATCCTGTTCTACACCAGACCAGTGGAGCCAAACTGCAGCCCATCATCATCCTCATCTGCTTGTAAGTAGGCAATCTAGTATATTATTAGTGACACTAATCTATAATTTACCTCACATTAAAGGGACACTATAGCTTAATGAAGTGGTTCTGTTGTCTACAGCTGGTCCCTGCAGGCTTTTTAATGTAAACACACACTGTGTGCAGCAATGGCGTTAGTTCATATGGCAGATCATATGGGTGGGGCATTGTGATGTGACATGTGGGGGCAGCAAATTTTTATTTTGTTTAGGGCGGCAAAAATCCTTGGACCGGCTCTACTTGACTGGTTTTGCCCCCCAGGCCTAAGGCTGCCAGCCCTCCCCTGGCCGCTGGGGAGGTCTTTTGGCGGCCACTGGCGGACTTGTCCTGGCGGCCGCTGAGGGAGCTGCGCGAGCTGCGCTGGCTCTGCTCCCCAGCACGCAGCTGAATGAGACCGGCGCCGGAATATGACGTCATATTCCGGCGCCAGTCTCATTCAGCAGCGCGCGAGGGCGGGAGGGCACTAACACAGGAAACACCTCTAGTGACCGTCTGAGTGACTGTCACTAGCAGTGTCACTTTGAAGCAATGTAAACACTGCCTTTTGTCTGAAAAGTCAGTGTTTACGTTGAAAAGCCTGTAGAGACATGCTATAGACACCAGTACCACCACATTAAGCTGTGTGTGTGCGTCTGCTAGTGAGTGAGCTTGCTTGCATGCATGTGCCTGCTAGTGAGTGAGCTTGTGTTTTTATGTCAATGAGCTGATGTATATCAGTAAGATTGTTTGTCTATGAGGCTGTGTATCAGTGAGCTTGTGTGTGTCACTGAAATGTCAGTGAAATTGCCTGTGTCTGCATGTGCGTATGCTTACTGTATAATTAAACGTTTTACCCTGAAAGGACCAATATTTTATATTAGAAAACAATATATATATATATATATATATATATATATATATATATATTACTCAATCATCTGTCCTGGCAAGACATAGCCTTACATATTACACGCGACAATATATGGCGCAGTGACTTATGGGGCTGGCACAAATTTTTTTTTCCAGGGCTGCTTTGTATCCCCAGTCCGGCCCTGAATGAGGCGGCTGTTTACTAGAGTGAGGTAAAGAAAATACTTGCATGGGCCACACTATGCCTTAGAATGAGCTTAATTTCCTTACAGCTGGGGAAATGACACGCTTCATGGCGATACTTCCTTCTTTTTGTCAAGCATAGGAAAATACTGAGACAAAGTAGCCCATACTTTAGCTCATATCTTTTGACTGGGTTGGAATGTAACCCCAAGTGTTGCGTTCGCATTAGTTTTTCCCCATAGGAATGGTTTCCTATGTGGTTTTGGGTGACACTGGATGTCCCCATGCATAGCGTGAGGACATCCAGCATCAGTTAGGCAAACAAAAGTCGCCTAAGAGCCCAGAAGTCCCTCAAGTGGTAGACAGCCACTAGAGATGGAGTTACCGCTAACAGCTAAATATTGCAGCTTCTTGAAAACTGCAATAATTACCTGCTCAGTGTTAAGGGAACTGGGACAGTTCATCCAGACCACTTCAATGAGCTAAAGAGGTCTGGGTGCCTAAAGTGTCCCTTTAAGGTTAGGATAAGAGAGATAATTTAGGTTTATGGTATGGTTCTAGGGGACATTTATGGTGTCAGGTGGTATTTCAGGATTTTTAGTATTCTATAGGAGTTAGGAGTAGTCTATAGGGTTAACTCAGGTTAACATTAGGAAAATAATTCTATGAAGAACCAGCTTGAACTCTGTTTCTTCACACAGTTCTTATGCCTTATGTTATTTTACTTTGTTTCTGTTATATTTTATTACAGCTTTTTAAAAAAATAATCCAATATAGAGTGTCTACAGATGCTCCCTTTAATACACAGCTTAGCTGTACCTGCTGGCAAGTGGGGCTTACCACCCTGCATATTCCTCACCCCTCAACCCACGACATGCACTACCTTGTTATTCTCTCCCTGACTAAGTGGGCGCCAGCCTCTGATAAATGTAAACCGGCATAACTGCCTGACCCTATCCGATGTCTACAGAGGCAGCTCACATTCTCTACTCAGCAACATTTCATAACCCATAACATATGAGAAAGATGCAATTTCCACTACATTAGATCCTACATTAATTATATTTGATTGTTTATCTTTTATAATAGTTTGCTTCTGCACTCTATATATATATATATATATATAGGCAGACAATGCAAACCATGCCCACAGCTCCCTACTATTGTTATGAATCTATCGTATATTGGAAGGCTATACTAATAGGTCTTTATATCAAGTCTACTATATTATTGTTGTAACCAATATCTTGCCGCAATAAAACTAAGAATGACAAAAAAAACATTAGGAAAATAGTTTAGGGATCATATTTAGAGTTAGGTCTGTCGGATTTGATCAATTATGGATAGCACAATAAAGATTTTACAGGAGCCGATTCACCACAGACTATCTGTCTAGGGGATTATATATACTTCCAAGTTGTTCATCATATAAGGAGTAACTGCTTCTTAATAGGATTGAAATATTTATTACTGTATGCTAGCATATGGAAAACTAACACTTAGGGTTACATCAAACATAGCATTCAGTGGCAACTCATTGTAACCAGATGTAAAAAGATGTAAACTGGATGCAACCAAATTGAACAACGAGGATATAGGGGAACAGATTACTTAAATGGAATACTACAATAGAGTAAAATGCTACATCCACAAATACGTACAAATTCAATACACTATACCAGGCCCGGACTGGCCATCGGGCATACCGGGCAAATGCCCGGTGGGCCGCGATGGCCGTGGGGCTGAGGCCGGCAGGGAGATCACAGAATCTCCCCGGCCGGCCCCTGCAGGGCCAGCGCTACCCGAGCGCCGGCCCTGCTGTGTGCCTCCGTGGGCCGGTGGGGAGATCAAAGATCTCCCTCACGTACAGACAGCCTGTCACAGAGGCGGCCGCCAGGCTGGGGGAGGAGGCAGGAGAGGGACCGGTAGACTCTAACCAGCAGCTCCGCCCGGTCCTCTCGCGGGATTCTGAGCGTTGCCGCGGTTACCGCGGCAACGCTCAGATCTCGCGAGAGTGAACTCTAACCCGCAGGTTAGAGTTCACTCTCACCACTGGACCACCAGGGAAGGCAGCATGGTCCCCTCAAGGCTCCCCCTCCCAGGCAGAACGGCTCCCTCCCCCTTCCAGGCTAAAGGTAAGAAGGGAAATTCTCTTTTTAATTAATAAAAAATAAAATATTTAAAATAAATTCCCTAACAGCCCCCAGACACACACAGCACCCCCAGACACACAGCACCCCCGACACACACAGTACCCCCAGACACACACAGCACCCCCAGACACACACAGCACCCCCAGACACAGCGCACCCAGACACAGCACCCAGACACACACAGCACCCCCAGACAGACAGCACCCTCACTCCCACACACACACACACATATATTTATATATATATATATATTATATAAAATAACCCTTAGTGAGTTAACAGACAAAGAAAATTAGAAACCTAGAATGTGACGGCAGATAAAAACACCCTCACACACAGCACCCCTCTTACACAAACACACTGCGCACCTCACACATACAATACGTCCAAATATATTCTGAATATATATACACACGCACTACAGCACCCCTCATACTGCACCACTACACACATTAAGCTCCAGATACATGCTAGATCCCTTACCCTATATGCACTCTTAATCCTCTACACATACACACACACAATCTTCTATGCACACTCTGGGTCCTTTACACACACACACTGCACCACCTACACACACACTACATTCCTTGTAAGCAAACACATACAACATTCTCTAAACACACCCTCTCTACAGCCCCTACACACACTACGTCACCTATACACACACACTACTGCCCGTATGTACACACTCGCTACATCTCCTATAACACTATGCCCCTATACACGCACTCTCTACAGCCCCTAGCCACACATATTACACCACAAAATTGACCTATTTACACAATACCACACAACACTCTACACACACAGGCAATCCCACAAGCATGCGCCAAACACATGCACCATACACTTTCCTTGCCCTTTTATCCTCTGGTATCCCACTTGTGGAGACACCAGAGACAATTTAAAAGCAAACACAGCGCAAGCATGTTAATACATTTGCTTGCGCTGCGCAGAACAAATACAGGGCCCTTTTCTAATGCTAGGGGCTCTGCGCATTGAACCAACATGCTCACTTTCAGAAGGGGCGTACTTGTCATTAATGATGACAAAACACACTGGCCCTGCCCCCTTCTTGGGGGGCCGCTCTAATTGAAAAATGCCCGGGCCTAATTTTTTTCCCAGTCCGGCCCTGCACTATACATACATTTAATAGGGGTGTTAGTTCCCAGAGCCTCAACTCTTGGAGACTTGATAGTCAAGAGTTATTAGAAATCATCATAGAGTATTATAATGTCCTGTCTTGACTGAGAGAGTCTAATCGTGTTGTAAACAGACCCGTTCTCTCCTTAAACAATAGTAAGTCTTCCCGAACTAGATAGCCAGCATTCTTGTAACTTCTTGAGATCTTACTGTAATTGCATTAGCCTGCATATCTGCAGATATTAAGGGGTGGCACTTACAATACACCCGGAGATGTCTGACATTGAGAACTGCACCATATTTACAAGGCCTAGTTAGACTTCAGGATAGATATGAGTAAATAAAAGGTGAGCAGGAGAAAATAAAGAGAGGGGGCATGGCAGAATACTGCAAGCTATAAAAAGGAGTTGGGAGGTCAATTGAATTATATAAATATATATTTAAATACACACAGGGAAAGTATAATGGAACAGAGGGAGAGAGATAGGTGATGAAGAACGATAAGGAGAGCTGTGGAAATGAAAAGAAGAGAGCACTGAAGAGAGGTGGTGAGAGCAATGGGGAAGAACAGACATAATAAGCAATAAAAAGAAGGGAAGAGACATTAGGAGAGCAGTGAAAAAAAAGGGTAGAGAGGGATAAAGATTGAGAGAGCATTTGAAACAAATTAAAGTTTGAAAATAAAATAATACCAAAGTGTCAAATCATTGTAAAGAAAGGAAAAATAAAAGACACATGCTAATAATAAAAGAAAAGCGGTTTATAGTGAATAAAACATCTGTTTGCTACTACCCTGGGTACTGTCACTTCCTACTCAAAAAGCAAAAAAGTGGAAACTACTTTTCTGTAGAGTTAAAGTTCAAACAGAATGTACACGGAAAATTCTCTTTAAGATGTTTTATAATCCCTGTCCAATAACTGAATGTAATAAACTCAATAATGCAAACAATAGACCCCTGGGCTGCTTGCATTGAAACATATAAACTAATATGACTCATGAAATGTAATCTCAATTGGTCACATGGTCAACATATAACCAGTGTTTATAGCTACTCCGGTATGTTCATATCGTCTTTTTAGTTAAACAGATCTATTCTGGTTTAGCTCAGATATGCTTTTTCTTTATTTTTTTGTAAATGATTTATTCACGGGCATAGCAATAACAACCGCAGAAGTGAGCCAAACAGCCTGTAGGTTTTTCAGTTTTTTAATAAAAACTGTGAGTTAACATATAAAAACAGTGCATAACGGATCCACATTGTGTCTATATTGGCTCTACATCACTGCGTGCTGAGCCCACATTATTCGAATTATAAAATAAGGCAGTATCATGCATTAACATTTGTGTTCGATCATAAACAATTTTAGAAAATAATAAAAAACAAATCCATGATGTCAGAGGATAGCAAGCCTGTACACCTTCCCTAAAATCTCTCGATCGACTCACACATCATCCTTTTCCCATGGACCCCACACCTTTTGAAAGTTTTTCCAGAGTGTTCGTGACCTGTGCTGTTAATTTATCCATCAAGCAGTTGTCTTTCAACCTAGCTATGACCTGGGAGATCAGCGCACTGTCGACAGTGAGCCATTTTTGGGCTAATTGTATTGTAACAGGTCTAAAAGGTCTATTTTGTATATATTTACCCAGATCAACTACCTGCCGCCAGAACTCTGTCATCAGATACGCATTTTCAGTTGCATTTTTTTTTTCTTAAAAGATGGTAAGTATAGTAGTTTAATTAACCCAGTAACCACACATGGCATTTCCTTTTTGCCACTGTTTTTGCTATTGTTTGATTCATAATCTCGTGCCACAATGTAGTTGACACGGGTCAGTATTTGTAGAAGTTCCAATTCAGTTCCATATTCTTTCAGGGTCTTACAGAGAGACTGGATGAACCATGAACCATTGATATTTCTCCAAGCAAAGTACCCTGAAAAGGAATGGGAATCTTGTTTTCTACGAGTTATAAATATAAATAAACATTTTTACAAAGGGAGTGATACATTGTGACAATATGCTTTTTAATTTTTAAACTAAGAATTTTTTAAATTTTTTTTAAAGAAATTCTGTTCAAATAGCTAACATTTTTCACATGGGAATAGAATTATAAAACAGGCCTGCATAAAGCAAGCTATAAAAAGTAAAGTAGGGCCCTCCGCACTGTGTGTTCATGTACATCTAACTTGTGTTGTTGTAACTCCTTGTCTGTTAGTTCACATATTGTACAGCGGAATTTATTGGCACTTTCTAAATAATAAGAAGTTACACTGCCCTAGTGCCCCCCATGTGTAAAAGCACAAATCCTTTATTAATTTATATACGACTGAATTTATTACCAGTAAGTTAAATTATTTTTTCATGAAAATGTATTAAAAGAACATTAAACGTGTGCCCATGATGTGCACCAAATTGGCTGTGATTTAAAAACCATATATTCACAAAAACTATTCTAGCAGCTGACTACCTTGCACAACTGCAAATAAAAGGACTTTATTTCTTAC